AATTGTTTCAGGCTCTCTGCAATCTCAGGCAGACGCCGCTGCGTCTGTTACAGATGGGTCAAGTTAAGTTGCAATAAAGCCCTGAAAAGAGCTACAGAAAAAAAATGAAAGGGCTGAGACTGGAGATCGGGAGACCTGTCTCCCCCTCAGGGATGCCTGCCTTAACCAGGCTTGCTGGGCACGCGTGTTGTAGTAATCTGCAGAACGGGACCCTCGTGCATTGTGGGAAGCAGCTCTTCTGGGGGAGCCTTATCAGAAGCTTTCCCTGGCTGAGCCACTAGGAACTCTGCAGCGATCTCATTTTAGCCGAGTCCCCTCTGGTGGGCTGGGAATCAACTCTTTGCAGCCCAGCTCGGAAAAAGCTGGCACCTTGGGAACAATTGTGTTACTGCCGGGTGGAAATTAGCTCACTATTATTGGAGTCATCGCTGCGGATATTACTCGCCCCGTTTCCTTAATCCTGTCAGCTGCATGCGCCAAGCAGCTTAATGCATTTCCCCCCCTTTTTACTGGCCGATCAAAGGTTCCAGCCTCGCAGCCCCGAGGGACTGTCCTTTGCAGTTTAATGGGAATTATCTGCAATTGTGCTGAAAGGCTTTTAGGGACCGAGCTCTCTTCGGCCCTTGGATGACCAGTTTCACTTGAGTTTGGTGCAACAGACTGTGCTGTATTGTTATTATTTCTGGAGTACCCTATTGGTCTCAGGCTGGGTCGACACTACCCGCCTGAATCGGCGGGTAGAAATCGACCTCTCGGGGATCGATTTATCGCGTCCCGTCGGGACGCAACAATCGATCCCCGAATCGACGCTCTTACTGCACCAGCGGAGGTGGGAGTAAGCGCCGTCGACGGGAAGCCACAGAGGTCGATTTTGCCGCCGGCCCTACAGCGGGGTAGAGTCGGCTGCGATACGTCGAATTCAGCTACGCTATTTGCATATCTTAAATCGACACCCCCCCGTAGTGTAGATGTAGCCTCATTTTCACACCCAGCTGTGCATCACAGAAGCGGAAGCAAAAGCCACTTGAGACTAACTAGAGGCCAGCCTCAGAGTTTAGAGCTCTTAATGTAACTTGGAATCAGGCCCATAAAGTCCCTTTTTGGGCTGCTAGGGCTTTTAAACGGGTGTAGAACAGCCCCACTAAGAGCGTCCTTTGTGCAAGCAGCTTCTTGAGCCAATAGAACTAATAAGAGCGCTACACCAATGCTGCTTCCAGCCCCCAATATACGGGCACATGTACTGTGCATGCACCATGGCGATTCTAGATGCTTTACTTCCCAGGGCCTAAGTTAGAGCAGCCCCAGGGCTGCTCTAGTTTACACCAGGAACTGGGTTAGCTCCTGCACAGTCCTGGAATAAAGGGCGTTTGTCCTCATGCTAATCCTATATAAGCCCTGCCCCATGTGCAGAAAGCATAACTGAGAAACCAGGCCCCAGCCTTCCAGTGGAAGGGAAGGGGCCTTTTAGCAGCCAGGGATCTAAGAGATTGCCATGTAGGAAGGAGGCTTAATAGACAGAGCACTGCACTGAAACTCCAGAGACCTGGTTTCAATACTGGGCTCAGACACCGACTGTGCGCGTGACCTTGGGCAAGTCACTTAATCTACTCTGCGCCCCAGTTCCCTATCTTAGCGGGTTGCTGCAAGGGTTAAATCCCTTAATGTCCATGAGGTGCCGTGATGAGGTACATAAGTTACAATGGTATTGGGGAGAGGGAGCAGGGGACCCCTATATCACCCAGAGTCTCTGCAGTGCATCCCCCTGGATGTGCTTCCCACAACCAGTTCCAAGGCCCTAACTCACCATCTGTGCTGGCGTCGTCCACCAAAATGATCTCCTTCAGTAAGATGGCAGGGGAGGAGTGCAGGACGCTGTACACAGTGCGGAGCAAGGTGGACCAGGCCTCATTATGAAACACTATGATGACACTGGTGGTGGGCAATGGCGGGCAGCGCTTGAACTTCTGATCAATGCACCTACGAGAGAAATCGAGCCTAGTTAGTGAGTGCATTTGTAATGCTCTAGCTGCTCTTGGCTTTGTCTCCCTCTAGAGCCTGGACCTCACAGCTTTATGGCTCTACTACTGTCTACAAGCTAGCAGGCCTGATCTTTGAGCTCAAACAGCAGCATCCTGTGTGGTTAGATCCAGAGGACAGGTTTTCCTGTCCTGCAAAGATTCAAGACTTCAAAAAAATTCTCCTTCTGCATCCAGAGAAAACAGAAACCTTTTGGTAAGTTTTGCAAAAGATGAGACCTGCCTCAGGATAGCCCAGTGGTTAGCGCTCCCCTGGGATATGGGACAACCAGGTTCAAATCACGGCTCTAAACCAGGCAAAGCGGGGATCCACGTTCCCCCAGGTCCAAGCCCCTGATTCAGAGCAGGGATTTGAAGCTGGGTGTCCCACAGCCTAGCTAGGTGCCCTACCCAAAGTGTCATCAAGACGGATACATTTATGCAAAAAAGCGTGTCAACGCATCGGCATTTTCTGACGAAAAATTGTTTTATCAAAGATTCCCAACCAACTCTATTCCCCTACTCACTCCCGGCAGCTGACCCAGTTGGGACATCTTCACATGCATATTTGCAGTGCATAATCCAGCATGATTAATGCTCTCCAGTGGCAAGTTGAACATCTCCGGATATTTCTTTACCTAGGTGTTTAATCCCAACGTTCAGAGACAATATCCAGATCTCATCACGCCTTATACTTAGATTGCCAAGCTTTTGGGGGCAGAGACCATGAGTGGGGCTCCCAGGGATGACTGCAATATAAGGATTTAATATAAGGGCATCTTCTCATTAATGTGCAAGGCCACTTAGCTGCCACGATGGGAGCTGAGCTCTGAAAATGTGTGTGTGTGTGTGTGCGCGCGTGTGTGCGTGTGAGAGAGCGAGCGAGAGCGCGCCCTGTGGAGCAAAGTCCTTCGTTTCTTCGCAGAGCAGGTGCAGCGGGAGGAGAAGCTTGCACTAAAACAACATTCCGGAGCGAGAGGGAACCTCATTTTTCAGTGGTTCACTCAATTCACAGCCTCTCCAACACAACCAACCAGAGGGGAACACTCAGTGACAAACATGGTGGCGGTTTTTGCCAAATAGACTGAGACTCCTTCCCGTAGGCCATCCTACAGCCATCCCATTTCATTTGGATCTGCTCTCGGCTCTATATCCTGTTTCCAGTCCTGCTCCTCCAGTGCGAAAGGTTTACAAACCCCCTTACCAATCACTGCTAGGTGAGTTAATATGTTTAAACCAGGTTCCTAAAGCACGTAGACAGCCAGGCTGCAGCCTCCAAGGTTAAGCTTTGCTGAAGTGCCCATCTATTTTAGACTCCTCCATGCCCTGTTACTTTAGCATCTCTGTCCTTTAGTCTATTTAGCCTGCCAACACTCCACTGTACAGATGGGAACTGAGGTACAGACACACTAAGTGACATGCCCAAGGCCTCGCAGGAAGTCTTTGACAAAGCAGGGACTAGAACCCAGCTCTAGACTAGTGCCCTCACCACCCCATCTCCCACGTGTCTAGTACTTTTTGGGTGCCTAAGATGAAACCTTTAAAAGGGACCTGATTTTCAGGTGGCAAATGCTCAGCACAGTTTGAAGGGGGGTGGGGAGAATCTGGTCCCTTTAAGGTACCACTTCAGGGATCCCAAAGTTACTATACATCTGAAAATCTTTCATTGTTCGATCCATACAATGCATATGTAATAGTATACGTATAAGAATATGTAAATAGAATTATTCTCTTTTTGGAATAAGAAAAGCTCCCAGCTACAGCCAGTTCAATATCCATGACATTTGGGATAGGCTGTTCCTAAGGACGGCACCAGAAAGAGTCTTGAAATACTTTGGGGCTAGCATGAAAAAAACCACAACCAAAACCAACTCCCTCTTCTTTTGACTCGACCGCATGCGAGCCCCGTTCTGAACTTTCCGGAGGGCGTGTGAACGGCTCCCTTACATCCTACATACTTCAGCTGCACATCAAACGGGGGAGCGTTCCACATGGCAGATCAGGTTCTGCTTCGGCCTCGAAATCAAACAATGACGGCCCCTTCCAGCTGAGGGGCAGAGCCAATTCCTCCAGCTAGCCGATTTATGTTTCGGTTCTGGAGCGCTTTCCGCTTTAATTTCAATTGGTTTATGCCTTTTCGGTTGGCTGAATACCATTCCTGTGCTTCCCCCTTCCAGAACTCAGCGACCTTCCATTGTCACAGCCACACCTGCTAGGCCAAGATAATTGCCTGCTGGGGGAAACAGTCTGCAAACCGGGTCTGGGCTTCTAACCACTATTCAAAGCCATTTTCTTGAATGCCCTCTCTACAAAGCCTTTCCTAACCCACCTCCCGGCAAGGGGGCAGGCTGAAGTCTCAGAGTGCCTGGCTTGAGACCACAGGAAGGTCAAGCCTACTATGGCACATCTGACTCCTTTAGCCATAGCAGGAAGGTAGGGGGCTGTTCCACTCAGCTAAGAAAGAAAAGTTAGGGCAGGGCTTCCCAGGAATAAAGGGAAAAATCGATCAAACCCAAGGGCAGTCTGGGAACAGGGAATTAAGTGTTTTTGAAGTAGGCAGACTTCTCTGTCTTTAAAGGGAGGGCTGTATCTGCCTTGGGAGACTTATGTTGGCTGGTTTTTAACAAAGGGCAGCAGGAGGAAGTTGGGTAGGAGAGTGTAAGAGACAGAAGAGGAGGGAAGAAGGAAAGAATTATTGCCCTCAACTTTCACTTTAAGTCTGCTGTGGGGAGATTTCTTGTGATCTCCCTTTGTCCCAATGGTGTCTACTAATCAGAGCGGACAGTCAAACTATGGCCACAGTCTCTCAGTATTCCCTACCATCATATCCATAAAAGTCAGTCAAGCAACCATGCGGCTAGGGACTATTTCACATCAGTGGGCACGTCTTCACTACCCGCCTGGATCGGCGGGTAGAAATCGATCTCTCAGGGATCGATTTATCGTGTCTCATCTAGATGCGATACATCGATCCCCGAATCGACGCGCGTACTCCACCTTGTCAGGAGGCGTAAGCGGCGTCGATGGGGGAGCCGCGGCGGTCGATTTGCCGCCGTCCTCACAGCGGGGTAAGTCGAATAGGATACTTCGACTTCAGCTACGCTATTCGCATAGCTGAATTTGCGTATCTTAAATCGACCCCCCCTTTAGTGTAGACCAGCCCAGTAACTGGCCAGTCCTAGATAAGGCAGTTAGCGCAGTCAACGTTCTCCCTGACTTTAATGCTTGTCGGGTGTAGCCCTAGTCTACGTTGCACTGGGGGTAACAAATGGAAAAAAGAAAAAGATCAATCTAGATATACTATAGATGCACTTAAACGGATTTAAACCTAGATTAAACCGCTTTCGTTTCATTGAAATTCAGGTACAGTTGATTTAGTTACATGAGTGCAATTTCTGTAATAGAGACAGGCCCCTGGAAGTCTCTCATACACCCGGCTCTACCCAAGTTGGATCGGTGCCTATGGGTGAACTCTGCCCTCCAGTGTATATGCGCAACTGACTCAGGTCAATGGGAGGATGCTGGATGTATCAGAGTGTGGAATTTAGCCTAGATACTCAGCTGCAGCTCTGGGAGTTGCAATGACTCTGCATCTAGGGGAGTTTATTTCAGTAACTAAATTCACCCCCTGCACAATAGAGCTTTTCTGAAACAATGCCATGAGTTGGGATGCGTGTCCATTCAGAATCTCATCTACCCCGGCGAATATTTACGGCTTGCAGTAGCAACTTCAGCATTCAAATGAGAAGTACAGATGCATCTGTCTGTGAAAGGAATGGCACAAATTCTATATACGTTGGTTTAACAAAAAACCCTTTTTCAGAAAAACATTTTGGTAGCGTTTGTGATTGATTACCTAAGAAGGAAGGGAACGCCAGGCTACACCTGAAATCAAAACTGAAAAGCAAATGAAATGTCAGTGAGAGACAAACTAGCTGCCCGGACCCTGTAATAGCTACAGTAAAAACCCTAGCGATGGCCTAAGAAAGGAAAGACGCTAGATTAAGCGGTGCTTCAGAAAACTCTCTCGGGTCACTCCTGTGATGCAGAGAACATTCAGACTGCCGAGATGGGGGGTCAGACTTTTCAACTCAGTCCACACATCTTCCATGCTCTTAAATTGGAAGATGTGAGGTCAATTCCTCTGGCTTGCTTTGAAAACAGAAACCTCAACTATAACTCTCCCTTGCCTTGCACTTGGGCCATCATTTATACCTGGGCAAAACGGGTGTAACATTTTTCACATTCATTGTGCACAAATATAAATGATAAAATACAAGGCAGTGAAGAATCAGGCTCCGGAGAGGACAGCAATGAGAAAGACTTCCCCTCTCCGCTGGATCTTAAAGCTGGTCTCCATCAGTTGAAACCAGTGCAACTTTCAGGTGTTACTTTAAGGCGATTTAGTTAAACAGGTGCAAAGGGCCACATGACCATTCTTATTTTAGTTTAATTTACATCAGTTAGGAACTGACTTACGATGAACCCAAATTAAAGTTTACATGGGTTGAAAAAACAGATTTAAGTTATATTGGTGCAACTTGTGTGTGTAGACGTGGCCTCAGTCCAAGACTCGCGTTTACAGATCCCATCTCTCCTACGGTACTCATTTTTGTGCTGCTATTTACAACAGGGATAAGAGGAGGAAGGGGCAGTTCTTACTCTGGAGGTCGGCTGTCAGGTCCCAGCGCCCTTTGGAGAGAGATCTGGTCGCTGGCAAAGGCGTTGAAACAGTGCTTCTCATAGCCGCGCTCCTTCTCCTTAGTCTCCTGCGGTGTCCACTGGTCCTTTTTAAAAGCTTTGCCCTCGGCTCCTGGGCTGTTGGGGTCTTGGGGTGGTCGTTCCATCAGTGGTTTCAGTTCAGCTGGGGTATAGTAACCTGGAAGGCAGGACTTGCTGCTCTGCAAAGGTTCCTCTTGCTGAGCCGGAGCCCGGATCTGTAGCTTTGGCATCGAGTCGCGAATGTTATTTACTGCCCCCATCATCATGTCAATCACTTGGTCTTTCCTCTCGACAATGTTTTTCAGCCAGGGCTCCTCGGTGTGGTCCCCATTCCCGACATCCTTCTGTATTATGAAGAGGAAGATCACAAAGACCACACCCACCAAAGCCAGCTTCAATGGGCCATAATTTCGCCGGAATAGCCTCATCTTCAGGGATGTTTCCAAAGTCCCCGCTAAGTTAGAGCTATGTGCATTTCAGGGCCTTACGTTCTTTGGCTATTCCATGGCCATCTGATGTCCTTTTCCAAACCTGGGGGAAACAAAGAAATATGTATGAACTCTATTTACTATAAACTCATGTTTACCTCACTAATGTGCTACTGATAAAGAACCTAGCAGATGGAATTTATTCTAGGTACAATGTGAATAGATCATTTCATTTGAGATGCAAGAGAGAGGACATGACTCCTTGGAAGTGTTGTGACCCACTGGCAGAGTGTGTAGGGGGAAATCAGTGGGGGAACAGGACCTTTCATTTCCTAATTTTCAAACGTGTTTTCATTCCCAATCAGAACAAAACAATAAATTTAGAAATTTCCAGCCAAATAATTTTTTTGGGGGGAAAAAAATTAGCTTCAGGTCAATTAAAATATTTTGTTTCTATTTTGACTTTTAAAAAAAGTGATATTGTAATTTAGAATAGAACATACATTTGAAATGAAAAGTAGTTTTAAAATGAAAAATTAAAATGCTATGTTTTGATTTTTTTTTAAAACCACACAAAAACCAACAAGTTCTCACAGAATGTTTCGCTTTTCACTAACTGGCATTTTACAAACGAAAAAGTGTTCTGTTGGAAAATATTCAGCCAGCTCCAGTGTGGAATATTAGCTCCAATATCTTGGAGACATTCTACATGTGGTTGTTTTGGTTGTTTCTCTGGACTATCCAAATCTCTTGGGTCTGCAAAGCTGGGCTGAAATCTCACGAGTTGGTTCTTGTGAGATTTTCCAGTATTTTCTGCTTCTGATCATGCTGGATATATCACGACATCAGCCCATCTTGGAGTATTTTAGCGATTTTGTGTCCAGTCCTGAGGGCCGGCTCCAGGATTTTGGCCGCCCCAAGCAGCCAAAAAAAAGCCGCGATCGCGATCTGTGGCGGCAGTTCGCCAGAAGGTCCTTCGCTCCGAGCTGGAGTGAGAGACCGTCCGCCGACTTGCCGCCGAATAGCTGGACGTGCCGCCCCTCTCCGGAGTGGCCGCCCCAAGCACCTGCTTGACAAGTTGGTGCCTGGAGCCGGCCCTGCCAGTCCTGTACCTAAAACAGCAGCTGCAGTAAATATTAAAACTGCAAAACAAACAACAAAACTTTGTCCAAACTTTTTTGAATCTCACCACCAGGTTTGAAGACCCACACCCTATCCAACGGAGAATATTTTGCTCGATCATAGAATCATAGAACTGGAAGGGACCTCAAGACGTCATCTAGTCCAGTCCCCTGCACTCATGGCAGGACTAATTATCTAGACCATCCCTGACAGGAGTTTGTCTAACCTGCTCCTAAAAATCTCCAATGATGGAGATTCCACAACCTCCCTAGGCAATTGATTCCAGTGTTTAGCCACCCTGATAGTTAGGAAGTTTTTTCTAATGTCCAGTCTAAACCTCCCTTGCTGCAATTTAAGCCCATTGCTTCTTGTCCTATCCTCAGAGGTTAAGAAAAACAAATTTTCTTCCTCCTTGTAACAACCTTCTATATACTTGAAAACTGTTATGTCCCCTCTCAGTCTTCCCCAGATCTAAAGATCAAAACTAATTTCATGCTGGCCTCAAGGCAACTGAAAGCTTTTGTATTTTCAGACCCATTTACGGAAGATGTGCAATACTACATAATACACACATTGTTTTATTATGTACTACAGATCCCTGATAGTTATTTCCCACTACAACAAAGATTAGGGAGGATTGAAAGATGCTATGGAGATTGGAATAAAGTTACATGTGTGGAGGCTAGCTGACACAACTTAAATTCTAGGTTGGTTAAATAGTTAGGTAGTTGCGGTTCGATTAGTTGCATCAGATCATTACCTACCATGGGACATAAGGCTGGCTATATTAGTTCGGCGGTCTCAGTAGAACTTATTCCTACACAACCAGTAGGGCAAAATTCAACCTCAGCCTAAATACACAGGATTCCTGGTGCTTTCACCAGGAGTTGGGTCTATTTGCACCATGGATTCATTTGGACTTTTAAGAGAGACAGGTGTATCTGTAGGTATGGAGTGATGGGCATTCATAGGAATGTGATATGTGCTTTACTTCAATCCAGAAGGGAGCGTCAAACTTTACACACACACACAATTTAGATATAGGAGTATATTTCTGGCACTGGTAGGACGGTTCAGTGGTTAGAGGACTAACCTAGGACTCTGGAGACTCAGGGTCAATTCCAGGCTCTGCCATGGGCATCCTTTGTAACCTTAGGCATGTCACTTAATTTCTGTCTCTCTGTTTTCCCATCTGTACAATGGGGGTAATAGTACTGTCCTGCCTCATGGGGATATGAGGATAAACATTAAAGATTATGAGGTGCTCACATGCTATGGAAATGGGGCCCTGATAAGTACTTAAGATAAACAGGAACCTGTACACTTTTTGAGAGCATCATTCACCAGATTCTACCACTTTCTACTCACCTTAGATTTCCAGATATTTTAGCCTTTTATTTAGTGTAATTACACAGATGCAGGCGGTTAATGTCCTGAAGTGGAATGAGACACCTGCTGTTAGTTCAGAGGGCTGAAGAAGGTTCTCTCTAGCTTTCCTATTTTCTTGGCTGTGTGAGGTTTTATGTGCCAAGAGAGAAGTGGCCGCATCTCTAAAGGCAAGGGAAAATCCAATCTATGTCCCAGGGATGTAGGGGTCATTGCTTTTAGCTACAAGGAAGACTGTGGGATCAAGGACACCTTAGCAGGAGAGCTGTAAGCAAGCCTGCGGCCATCCTGATGTTGACTTTCAAGGGTATGCGCTGTGCAGAAAGAACAATCCTGGGACTGAAATTTGGCGTTATGAGCCTCGACAGATTTAAAGCTGGCAAATAGCCATTTATGTTAATGCAAAGAAATCAGTTTTATTTTAATCTCCCTACTGATTTTATTTAGATTTAAAACGATACAAGACACCTCTCCAGGGCTCTAGGTCCCCTATATAGCGAATGTCTTAACAGAATGAAGTACCAGCAGCATTAAAACAATCATTCCACAGGAACTCAGTCAACCAGCCACCAACAAAAACTCCTTTCAGCCACTTCATTGTAATAGCAAAACCTCAGCCCTTTCCAGAAGCCCTCTCAAAGCAGAGATCTTTTGCAGTGTGCCTGAAAGGTCACCTAATTTGGATTATTTTGGCCTGTCATGGTGGACACAGCAAGTTCAAGAATCTGGGAACCCTCAGAAAGAACACCCAGACAGGCTTGGATTCTTGAGTCTGATTGTAAGTTCGTTGGGGGCAGAGACAGTCTTTCTGTCCTGTGTTTGTACAGTGCCTAGCACCACTAGGGCTCGTAGGTGCTACAATAATGCAAATAAATAATAAAATTGATGCTGAATATGCCTCTAGATGGGTGCTGCCTCCACTAATGAGTGACATTGGGTAGTTTCAAGGGATTGTCTCCTTCTTGCTAAAATACCAATGGGAAGCTTTTCCTCTCTACTGATAAGCCACTTCTAAGCCATTTCTCCAATTCCGTGGCCTCACAGACTCAAAATAATCTCTGTGTTACTGTTATGCTCAACATGATAATGGCATACAGAGTGCACTTATGTTTCTGGGTGATACTGAGCTGGGAGGGGTTGCAAGTGCTTTGGAGGACAAGATTAGAATTCAGAATGATCTTGACAAACTGGAGAAATGGTCTGAATTAAACAGAATGAAATTCAACATGGACAAATGTAAAGCATTACACTTAAGGAATAACCAACTGCACAAACACGAAATGGGAATTGACTGCCTAGGAAGGAGTACTGCAGAAAAGGATCTGGAGGATATAGTAGATCACGAACTAAAGATGAGCCAACAGTGTAATACCGTTGCAAAAAAAAGCAACCATCATTCTGGGATCTATTAGCAGGAGTGTTGTAAGCAAGACACGAGAGGTAATTCTTCCACTCTACTCAGCACTGGTAAGGCCTCAACTGGAGTATGTGTGTCCTGTTCAGAGCAACACATTTCAGGAAAGGTGTGGACAAATTGGAGAAAGTCCAGAGGAGAGCAACAAAAATGATTAAAGGTCTAGAAAACACGACCTATGAGGAAAGATTGAAAAAATTGGGTTTGTTTAGCCTGGAGAAGAGAAGACTGGAGCAGGGAAATTATAACTGTCTTCAAGTTCATAAAAGGTTATGAAGAGGAGGGTGATAAATTGGTCTCCATATCTACTTAGGACAGGACAAGAAGCGATGGGCTTAAATTGCAGCAAGGGAGATTTAGGTTAAACATTAGGAAAAACTTCCTAACTGTAATGCACTAGAACAAGTTCCCTAGGGATGATATGGAATCTCAGTTACTGGAGGTGTTTAAGAGCAGGTTAGACAAACACTTGTCAGGGATGATCTAGATAATGTGTAGTCCTGCCTCAGTGCCGGGGACTGGATTAGATGATCTATCGAGGTCCCTTCCAGGTCTACATTTCTATGATTCTATGAACATGGTCCATGGGCCACATATGCGGCAGCAAAGTTCAGCAGGGCTGTCTGTTTTGGTCACTTTTGTGGGACTTTAAGAAAATTCCAATTTTTTTTTTTTGTAAAGGGCACCTGAGACTGTAGCAGTCTGACATAATTCTGAGACAGGCAATCAAGCAAAAATACAGCTGCTAACTCCCCCTTCTCCAAAAATCCCATCCTTCAACAATTCTCCATGTCCCTGTCTGAACGTCAGCTCTGATCAAACATCTTCTCCTCCAAAGTTCTCAATAAATACGAGCCTTGTGGAATGATCTGAAGGGCAGATCCAGGCGAATCAGGACTAGTGAGAAAGGACGGTTCAGTGGTTTGGATACTGGCCTACAACTTGGGAGACCAGGGTTCCATCCCTTGCTTCTTTCCTGCATCTACGGTTTATACTACCTGTCTTCGCTATAACCCACAGCAGAGTCCCCACTTTGATGGCAGAATGGAGTTTTCAGTGGTGCAGGCACACACCAGTAGTTTTTCCTGTTAGCCCAGGAAGCTGACAAAAGAAACCAGGATTTAAGAGAGATTTCTTGCCACCCTGAAACTTCATCCACCGAAGGGTTTGCCTCAACAGCC